TTTCTTCATTTTAATGGTATCAAAGTAATTTCATGGTTCATTCCGAAATATATATCATCTTTTGTTATATACACCACAGATCAGAAGCGCCATGTCGTGCACTTATCGTATCTCAGCAATAACATATTTGTTGAACTGTTAAAGCTGTCTGAGGAGGAATTTGGTCTGTCAAGTTACGCTCGTATAATGTTGCCCCGCGATTCAGCTTTGTTGGAATACATAGTCTTCATTGTCCAACAAGGCTTGGATAAACACTTGGAGAAAGTTCTGCTTAATGCCATTTCTCCAAGTCACCACTGTCATTGCGCGTCTTTCCATCAAGGACAGACACGCGAACAGTCATTTGTTTGTGGATACTGAACAGATCATAGTTGAATCATGTTGAAACTACCAAAGAGTAATATAGGTGTATTCTAAAATATTTAAAACAATAGTGAAATGCAACAGCAATTTTTACAATATGGTATATGATAGTTTCCTCTTTAACTTCTCATAAATTCAGGTATCACGAAGCAACAAAAAGTATGTTTGCAAAAAAGTTATATTTGCAACTTGCAAGATATGTCAGAGCAAGGAAGCCCTTTTACGGTTGATGTTTTTCTATCGCTTTAATTTTGCACCATGATTAAACTCTGTAGTTTCTTCTTGATAGGTTTGGCAGCATGGTGATACTGCCTGTAGGAGGGGTGCTGCAGATACAATTGTTTTTTACATAGCAAATGGACTTCAGTGATATGATACAGTTCAGGACAAAAAAAAAGAAAGAAAAGAAAATTTCCTACTCTTCTTGTTCCTTTAGAAGAGATGGTATACACAGTGTAACAAACTCTGATCACAACTATGGAAGTTAAGGTTTAAAAAAGAAAAACTTTGTCATAATTCAAATCAATATTGTAATCTGGCAAAATGTCATAACCACTTGGTCATACCTTTTGTTTTTCGTCCCATTTTTCTTTTTCATTCTTTGTGAATCTTCCTTTTCCAGTATCCGTTGAAATCAAAACTATTCTGATATAACTAACTACAGTATTTTTGCATTAAAAATTCAAGTACAAGAAAAGCACAAGGTCCTAACCTTGTCATTAACAATTAGTTGGTGGATTCTTGTTTTCATTATGGCCGTTGGAAGTAAAATTTAGAATATCTTGTTGTTGTCCTGCACACTTAGTTACATAGTTTTGACCAAAGCTTTTGGCCTCGCCAAGGACAGTCTAAATTTACAATTGGAGGACCACTCTACCTCTGTCTTGTCAATTGTCTTATTCCCAAAAGAAATCTTTCTAGTAATATATTTAACTATACTAAACATCTTTGTACATGTACAACGGAACTCAGACGGTGTCATATCGAGAATGAAAAAGTGCATAACCCTCCAAATTTCCATTTTAGATATTACTGATATTGGTCTTATTTTGTATCTGAAGAATCATAGTTAGTTATAGACGTTGGAGCCAACCTACAAAAAATGTCAGCTGTTGATCATTCTTGTGACTCTTTAGTTTATATCAATGCAATGCATGAAATTTTCTTGACTCCTAAAAAATAGTAATTACTAGCCATACCTTTGCATCAAAATTCTAGACACTAGGAAAATTTCGAGTAAAGGAACTTTTTCGTTCCTCAATCCTGTATGTACCTATATAGATGTGAAGTAACAAATTGATTGCTTCCATCCATCAACAGAAATTAGAACACCATTTCAGGGTTCTTTAGCAAAGACATATATACATACGTTAATGAGATAGAGAATAAAGCCAGAATAATCAGCAGCAAGAAACTTTAACAGAATAGCCAGAAAGACATGCATACATACATTGATAAGATAGAGAGTACAGCCCTGTGATGCAGTCTTTTTGCAGTATGTAATTTCTTTGACCAAACGGCACCTGACTGAAGATATCGAGAAAGCACTGCTCACGTCCATAGCGAGTGGCCATTGCTCATCATCTTCATATCTACACCAAGAATCAAGAAATCAACCATCATTGATTTGTAGCTGCTAAAGCAAATTGTAGTCAAATTTTGTAAATTGTAATGGTACGCTATTTTTCACTGATTCTACCAGGAAACATAATTAAATATTGGTTAAGCTTAAAAATCTTTCCTAATATATTGTTGCTTTTACACAAAATGTGGTATAGCCTGGCATCCAACAAATTCAACAATACATTTCTTCTAATTAAAGTTAAATAAGACCAATGCCATTTGACTTCAAGTTAACTACACTCAGAGCTATCCTATATAATATGCATCAAATTCCACGGGGGTGATATGAAAAATTGGGCAAATAGGAAGATTATAGATCATTGATCAAAAACTTAGTTGGTCTTTACATTTTTTCTATAACACAGATGCAGAGGCCAATAGATATCCACCATCTCCTTAGTATAGGAGCTAGTCTTTTTTGTGAACATTTTGAAATAGTCTAAGGAGAATAAAGAAGTTGAAATTTGAACTTTAATTTCAGGTAGGATGTTAAAAATTATTATATAAGCCTAGATTGTTTGCTAGTTATGGACTGACTGATAAAATTTTATTTTACACCTCAGAGAAAAAAATGGTAATAATCACAGGTAAATGGCAGCAAATCTTCACTCTTACAGTGATCCTATATATTCCATATTCCAGAAATAATCTCCTTGGTCACGTGGATCAGGTTTATTCATATAAGATAACTAGACAACTTGGCAAAACAAAAAGGACCGTGCCCTCTTTACATTTAAACTCCATGTGCTATAGCAAAGTGAAAGAGATTGTCTCTGCTACCGTCACATCGTTTGGCATCCCTCAAATATTCATTGATAACTACATGGAAGAGATTGTCCCCATGGATAAGTAACAGGAAGGTCATGAAATTGATTGGATTTGAGAGAGCCATTGGCTTGAGAGAAGGTTTCTTATTAATATTTAGAGCAATAAATCACATCTAAAGAGGATCCTAAATGTCTGTTGGAATCTGTGATCAACTGATCATGAATCAATATAATTGCAATACAGGTCCATATGGTTGTTAAACCACTTGGCAGATAGATAAAGATGTGTCTGAATGCACTTCTCTGCTCCACCTTGTTGAGCTAATCATCTAATAAAATCAAACATGCCCACCTTGCTTATTACACCTCATATCTGCCCATCACATGGCTTTGTTCCCATGAATAGCTGCATTCTACTAATTCATTAAAGGATATGTCTCTGGCCTCGTGATTGTATATTCATTCCATTTCCACTGCCTCATATCCAGCACAACAACTGCATTCAGAAATCAGAGTTCTAACACCTAAAACTAAACTTAGACTAAACAAAGATGATCAGCGCTAAGAAGCTTATCAAGTTAGCAAGAAATGGCTGCAATTAGGAGAAAAAGAATCGCATTACCAAGAAGCACAGAGGATGCTGACACAAACTGTTGCAGCACATCATCAGTGGTCGAGAAGGGTCACTTCGCTGTATATAGTGTGGATCAGAAGCGCTTTGTACTTCCTTTGGAATATCTCAAGAACGAAATTGTCAGGGAGTTATTCAACTTGGCAGAAGAAGCGTTTGGACTACCAGGGAGTGGGCTTCTCATCTTGCCTTGTGATGCAAACTTTATGGCATATGTAATTGCTTTGATCAAAAGGAAACCAAGACGTGGAGAAAGCATTGATCCTGTCTGTAGCCGGTGGTCGTTGCTCATCATCATATCTTTATCAGCAAGAAACAAGTCAACAGTTACCAATATGGAGCTTATGAAGCAATTTTTTTTTTCTTTTGTTTCTCACCGTGTAATTGATCCACACCTTTGTAGATTAAAGTATATTGGAAAACTTCAGAATTTTTGTTTCTAATATTTAGTTGCCGTGAGTCTTGACAGGGCAATTACTTCTTATCTACGATATTACATCAATCATTTCAATTAATACTGGTAGTAAACAGCTTTACAAAAGAAAAAACAATTTATAAGATTCAAAACTGGAATCCTTAGTCATATAATAAAAAAAAATAAAACTATATCGAGTCCCTCATAAGCCCTTTCTTTTTCCTCATGTAATGGTTAGTCTTGTTTTCAAACAGGCAAGACACAAACCCTTGAAAAAATCAAATCAAACCAAAGTGGTTCGGCTCCCAAATTGGCTTGGACTCACCTCATCTAGTCATCTTTCGATAGATAGTCTGGAATTCTTTTTCTTTCTGAGATCAGATAGTTAATTTGGAACTAAACCACTAAGATAATTTGGGATTTCCTAAGACTGAATAGAATTATAAGTAGTTTTTTTTTTTTTTTTGAAGTGAGAATTATAAGTAGTGTTAGAGAAGGAGAGCACACTAATTAATATACGGGAATTGAATACAAATATTTATCTGCCATATGCATAATATCTTTTCTTTCTCAATAGGAGATAATTAAACTCCTTTTTACTCCTTACCCATTTTGATGAGCTTAGAAGACAAAAGGTTAAAAGGCATAAATTTTGAATCGTCACTTTGTTTATGACTCGACTTGTCCAACTAGCAGTGAAAATCAGAGATGGGTAAGATTTCAGTTGCATAACGATACCATCTCAGTCAGCAATTAGATTTTTGTTTTTTTTTTGTTTTTTGTCTAACCAATGTTAATATTTATCTAGTAAAAGCAGCTGAATTTGCACAGGGAAGAGTAACTTATAGAGTATACTAATTGAGCAGGACGTACCGTACAGAAAGTACGACGATCAAGACCTCTGCTGTTAGCAATCTCTTGGAAGCATTAACAGACAGATGAATGTGAAATAGATTATGATATGAGAAATCTACAAGCATAACAGCCTGGAGATAAAGACGTTTCAGTTTGGGGGCAAATCCTGTTTCAGAATTTATATATTAAAAAAAAAACCCATCAATCCAGGGTTTACTAAACTAGAACCACAATTTTTTTCTTGTTAGGTAACATATCCAGGACATGTGGGTACTAGGATGCTTTGTGTTGCACATGCCCAATTCTGCCAAAACCAAATAAATTTGAAGTTGAAAAAAAGATTGGACCACTTCCATTACCTTCCAGACATGCCCAACTGGCCACCTCCCAAGTGATCCCTCACATTTTCGAACCACATGGTTTTGCTTCCCTGGAGTCCCTACATTGAATTGCTTCTTTCAAAGGACTGCTTTTGGGGACGTTTGTGTGTATATATATTCATCCAATTCCAGTTTCCATCAGTGCAGCACAACACAAGCTTTTCAGTTTCCAAAGATCTTTAAATTCTCTTCTTCTCTTGCCCTAAAGTAGTCTCCCTTGTTTAACAAAAGCAACAAGATGATCAGCGCTAAGAAGCTTATCAAATTGGCCAGGAAATGGCAAAATTTGGCAGCAATTAAGAGAAAAAGAATCACATTCTCGAGAACCAATGGGGATGATGACACAAACAGTTGCAGCACACCATCAATGGTCGAGAAGGGTCACTTTGTGATCTATAGCGCTGATGAGAAGCGTTTTGTGCTTCCATTGGCATATCTGAAGAACGAAATTGTCATGGAGTTGTTTAAATTGGCAGAAGAAGAGCTTGGACATCCAAGCAATGGACACCTGACTTTGCCCGGTGATGCAGCCTTTTGTTAGGAAAATGGGTCCAGTTCCATGTAAGTGGTTTTGGACCAAGTAAAGGTCATGGGCCTTGATCTTTTATTTTACACAGAGCCCTAACTACTTAATAAAAAAGAGGTGGGGTTGTTTTATGTGTGCGTCGACAACCAAGCAGAGAAAGAAGAAGAGCCAAGAAAAGCAGAGAGAGAAAAAGGAGAAGGGAGAGTTGGTTAAACGGAAGTCGATCCGTGGTCCGATTGAGTTGGAATCTTGTCAGAAGGTTTATGATTCAGAGTTATACATTCTGAACGGTGAAGATCGAGTTTGAAGCTCTCTAGGAACAAATTCAGAGTGTATTTATTGAGTCACTTATTTGGTGAGATTTCTCTAATTGTTTTTTATGGAATATGTAATTGGGTTAATCAAAAGGAAAGCAAGTAAAGATGTGGAGAAAGCATTGATTATGTCTGTAGCCAGTGGTCGTTGCTCATCGTCATCGTATCTCTATCAGCAAGAAACAAGCCAACAGCTACCCATATGGGGTTTCTAAAGCAAAAACATTTGTCCTCAATTTTGTAAACCATCCAACACCATTGTACGTTAAGATATCAGAAAGAGTTTCCCGGATTCTGTTTGGTGTTTAGTTGTCTGCCATGGCAATTATCCTTTGTATCTTCACAACAAATTCACCAACACTATTCACTTGGAAAAGAAAAACAAAACATAAAACCCTCTCCCTGTCAAATTTTATATCCTCGGCGCAATTGATAATATTTGATTCCGTTGGGCCATTTCTCAGAAAACCCAAGACGCAAAACAACTTGGGAAGCATGGAATATGGATTCAACAAATCGATTTTTTAAAGCTGGGTGTCCAATGGATAAGAGCCTGATTTCATCTAGATTCCAGTTCTTGCATTCAAAAATATCCTTTACTTGCTCCACAGTATGGTATAAATATGTAATAATAGTTTCAAACTGTGGCGGCAGCAACAGATAATTACTCATTGTACTTTTGTCTCTTCATGATCATGCTAAAAGCAAAATCTTTGACCATAGGAATAGGCTACTAGAAGTATTAAGACTTTTGCTTTCGTTTCCTGACTTCTTTAATTGTTTGGACGAGATTGACCTGTGATTTTCAATCTTTGTTTTTCATTTTTGCAAATTTACAAGGAAAAAAAACCCATTTTTTCATTTTTATCAACAATTTTATCTATCGTCATCAATTACCCACGTTAAGAAAATTAGCTTGTTCGCATAGGGTTCAAAATAAATAAAAAAAAATTATTGGTTTTATCTAACTTTATTCATGTCCCAAAAATCTAATTAAGCAGTCCAGTTTGGTTGCGTGGGAACAAGACAGGTTTTTCGTTCTCTTATTACATCAGCAGACCTAATTTGAATTCAAAGTTTTTTTTTCTGTTTTCTACATGCATGCATAAAAATTCAATGGTGTTGGTAATAGTCTCATTCGCATGATTTAATGGTAGCTTTAATAATCAAGATTTAATTTTGATAATCTTAATTATAAAAAAAAAAATCAATTGTGTTTACTTTATAATTTTTTTTCTTATGAGACAATGTTTCATACCTAGCTCGTGTCTTTTTTTTTACGAGACAATGTATTATAAAATCAACAAAGAATAGCATTTTCCATTTCAAGGGAGAAAAGAAACACACAAAAAAAAGTGGTCATTGAAGCAAGCTTACACCAAGCAATTTACCTGCATCTTATATACAATTTTATGCAGGTTGGAGGCATGGGATTACGAAACAAACAAACCTTTGAACAAGCAAACTCAAAACATAAACCCTTATGATGATTAACTCAATATTAACAATTTATCAAACGAGAAAATTGAGCAATTTCATTGGCATACCTTCCATCTGTCTTATATAGCCACTTTATTGGATTACAAAACAGGGGATTTTGACACTGTTATATAAATTTTGCTTTCTTAGAAAAAAAAAGAATATAGTACCATTATAGTATTTTGTTTCAAAAATGACAACTAGAGAAATTGTGAAAATCATTGACAAGAAATCAAGATCACGTACCATAATTTATTGTATTTGCAATTAATTTAAAGAAGCCTATTTGCATAAATAAATCTCTGCTAATTGAATTAACTCTAAATATCTGATAGGTTTATAGATATTTAAAACAAGATCATATGCAGCCTTATGAAAAAGGAAATGAAGATTTCTTTGGTCATACATAGGTAACTACAGAGCATCCTTGCCGTTTATAGGCAGTTAACACCTGGAATACTACGGCACTGTCTTTCTCAATAGATTTTTTTTGAAAGATAAAGAAGGAGACTGCAGATATTATTATTTGAATCTCAAACATACTACAAGTTATACTTAAAAGATGATTATGTGAATCAATTAATCTAAGATCCGGATTCCTTTCTCAATCCTTTTCCATCTTAACCTTTGCATGTTCATTTTCTTTTACTATTCTGCTTTTGGTTGGTGAGAGTGGCCAGGCAACAGAACATGCTAGTTATTTTCTTCAATGCTTAGCTGAGAACTAATTCCAAGTCAAAAAGGATAAGAGAAATTTCTAAGTGATTGGTAAATGAATATGTAATGCTTGACCAAAAATATTTTGGTACTTTACTTTCACTGACCTTTGGTGCTAAAGAATATCAGTTACAAAAGGCCAATGGTTGAAAAAACAAGTGTGCCCGCCTGGCAGGCCAGCTACAGTCTTTTAACCTGGCTTTATGACTACTAGTAGCAGAAATTTTAGCACCCTTTTTCTAAAATCAACTTGTTCACGTTACAAATATTAAAGTCTGTTTATATTACGTATCTAAGACCAAACCACAAAGCACAATCCATGCCTTGTATCCAAGGTCTATATATAGGCAAATTTTAAGTGCATGCGCTGTGGGAGAACAGGGGGGAAATTAACACAGAGAAAATATTTTACAGAGTTCAAGGACAGAGCTTAATTGGAAAGAAAAATGGGTGATGCTAATGAAATAGGCTCCAACCCTGTAACGCCAAAAGTGGCTTCTGCGGCAGCAACACCGCCGATATCAGCTCCTCCTTCGCAGTTTCACTCTCCCTCTCTTTCTCGATCACCACTTCTTTCCTCAGTTGATCATATACAACCAGCAAACAAAACCCCTAAAAATTCAACTCCAAGGATAAGAACTCCACGCTTTATTACTCCTTTGGGAAGTCCAATTAGAAGGGCTCTTCAGCTTACTAGGCTTGACCCTCATGATGCTTGGCTTCCAATCACAGAGTCGAGAAATGGAAACGCCTATTACGCTGCGTTTCATACTCTCTGTTCAGGAATTGGTATTCAAGCCCTTGTGCTCCCTGTTGCCTTCACAATTCTTGGGTGGTAAGTAATTTAATCAATGACACTTTTCAACTTTCATGGTGCATCAGGTTGACTTTGTTTTATTAGCAGCCAAACTAACAGGTTATCCTTTTTTGCTGTTTTCCAGGACTTGGGGAATCATAAACTTGACTATAGCCTTCATATGGCAGCTTTACACCCTATACTTACTCGTGCAGCTCCATGAATCTTCCGAAACTGGAATGCGTTACAGCAGATACATGCAGCTTTGCAGTGTAACTTTTGGTAAAACTCAATCATAAAACTTCCCTTACTAAACTAAATGAAATTGATATCAATAAGGCCATAACATTCTCAGTTTTCTTCCAAACTGCCCTTTGATTAGCCAATGATTTTGATTCGAAAATTGTTATCCATGAATTTCAGGTGAGAAGTTAGCAAAATGGCTGGCTCTTTTCCCCATCATGTACCTATCAGGAGGAACATGCGTGGCCTTGATCATCATTGGGGGCTCAACTTGTAAGATGTTCTTCGATATTGTATGTGGTGGAACTTGCACCGCTGAGCCACCAACCACCGTGGAGTGGTACTTAATATTCACTTCTGCTGCCGTCCTCCTATCTCAGCTTCCTAATTTGAACTCAATAGCCGGTGTCTCACTCATTGGTGCCATCACAGCTATTGGATACTGCACCCTTATTTGGGTTGTTTCAGTTGTTGAAGGAAGAATGCCAGGAGTATCATACGATCCGGAAAAAGGAAGTGCTGACGTTACTAGGATTTTTGATGTTCTCAATGCACTTGGGATCATTGCTTTTGCTTTCAGAGGCCACAATCTCATACTTGAGATTCAGGTAACTTTGCTTATGCTAATGTATGTTTCTTCATCTTGATTAGAAATTAAATTTGGACAAAAATTAGAATTAAGTTCTTTCATTGTTAAATTAAGTATTTATAATTATTAACTTGACAAATAAAATTAATATAGAATTCATATCAAGTCAATAATTTTAATACTCTTAACAATATTTATATTCATATATGTCTATTTCATATTAAATACGTATAAAACATAAAAATTATCATTTTACCATAATTAAACATGAAACATATGTTTTAATTTTTATTAAATTCATATATAATTTTTATTAAAATTTTAAGATTTTGTGTTATTTCAAATCTGTTTATATAATAATACCTATTATGCTTAAAATTGTTATGTCTGATTTTAAGACTGGACTTTTTTTTTTTTTCAAAGAATCTTAAGAATAAATAGTTTATCTAAATTTGGTTCGCGGGCAAAAATAATTTGTCTTCACAAGTCTACTGTACAATTACGACGAGTCCGCTATTTTGCTTAATTAGGCAACTATCTTTAATTGTTTGAACTAGCAAAGAAAAAAAAAACCTGTTGATTTTCGGTCTTTTTTCATTTGTTTGAAAAGTGTTGTAAATTCTTCTAGATGCTGGCCATTTGAATCATAACCGATTAGGCTTTTTTTTTCTTTTACTTCTAACCCGAAAAGCAGCCCAACATGTAACAAGTCTTTGCATGCTTAAGAGTTTCAATTGCCATGAATTTCTACACCAAGGAAATAAAATACTCAGTTGCTAAAAAATGTTGACCAATGCTAAACAGAAAATTAGAAAAACAAAATGTTGGCCATTGACTCTGGACCTGAAAATACTTATGTTGAGTGTTGATCAGTAGAACATCTGACATACGATGAATATGTTGAAACTTGACACTTAAGAAGGGATTTGTCTCAATCCTATGAAAGAGATAGAAAAGATGGTTGCGTTATTAGACCCTCGACAATTAAAAATGGCCAAATTTCTGAAGCAAATTTTGTTTTGTTGCAGGCAACCATGCCCTCCGATGAGAAGCATCCCTCGCGGTTGCCTATGTGGAAGGGAGTCAAGGTTGCATATACACTAGTAGCAATGTGCTTGTTCCCTCTTGCAATTGGAGGCTATTGGGCTTATGGTCAAATGGTAATAAATATTTTTCACTTCTAATTTGATTTCTCTGACAGAAATTAAATGCTTTCTGAATTAAACTAACAAAAAAATTGTTTTGCCTATTGACAGATTCCAAAAGATGGGGGCATGCTGACAGCCTTATTCGCATTCCATGGCCAAGACACCCCACAATTCATCCTAGGATTGACAAGTTTATTCGTCATAATTAACGCATTAAGCTCATTCCAAATCTATGGCATGCCAACGTTCGACGACATGGAATCCCTATACGTTAGGAAGAAGAAGAAGCCATTGCCATGGTGGTTCAGAGCTATTCTTCGGTCTATGTTCGGCTATGGATGCTTCTTTGTGGCAGTGGCAATCCCTTTCTTAGGAAGCTTGGCTGGTCTAGTTGGAGGGATAGCATTGCCCGTCACCTTATCTTATCCATGCTTCATGTGGCTTAAGATTAAAAAACCCAAAATTTTTAGCCCAACATGGTGGCTGAATTGGGTGTTAGGTGTCTTTGGGATGGCTCTAAGTGGGGTTTTGACAGCGGCTGGACTATATGTTATTATTGATACCGGGATTGATTTTAGCTTCTTCAATCCTCAGTAATTAATTCAGTAATTAGTATGAAGGTGTGATTACTATTATATATTCGTTTTGTTGTAATGGTGAAATTGGTTTTCCACAAAAATTCCAGGAAGTGCATTTGGCATCAATTTATTCTCTAGATCTTGATTTCCTTTTTCATTTTATCATATCATGCCCTCCTGGTAAACCCCTGTTTCCCTGGTTCGTAAAGTATCAAACATATTCAAAAGTTTTGACCGTTTGAACTTCAAATTTAATTTAATTAATTCATATAATTATTTTTAAAAAATAATATCTAATATGTTTAAATATCAAATCTCCACATCTACAATCGTTTCTTCTCTTCTCAAAGTAGGGCCTTAGCCAATTAATCTTGCTGCAGAACAGGCTGAGCTAACGAGCAGCCCAATCTTACACGACCATATGCTTCAAGTTTGACCGAACACTTCCTATACCCCTCCTGGTCCTAAATGGGTACTCACGGTCTTATACGTGCTTCAATTAAAATCAACCCTTTGGAATTGACAAAGAAAAATATTCAAAAGAAGTGTTCATATACGCCGGTCATCGCCAGTTGTTGAATTAGAATCAATGAATGTCATGCTCTTAGCTATAAAAAACAAATTCTAGTATTGAAAAGTAATGGTGTGGAACTGAAACAAACACACATCAATCCATTTTCATTTTCTTTAGTGCTCGAGTTTGATATGTCTCACTCGCTAGCATGAAATTTGGCACTTGGCATCATCAAGTTCATGCTAATTGACAGCTTGAAATATCAAAGCCAACACAGCCGATCAAATTGGAAAAAAAAACAAAAAAAAAAAACAGATAGACATTTTATAATCTAGGTGCCTTACGCATGCATGAAGAATGTGAAATTCTAGGTGAAGAATTGAATAATTAATTTCAGAATTTCTTTGGACGGTCATAAAAGAGTATATAATGGTAAACAAAAATGAAACAGTTGCTGACAATCCTATGTTTGAGACAATATTTGGTGTTGAATATAAAACTTTTTTCCCAATAAAAGGAGAGTTGTGGGTTGGTTAAGTTTCTAATTACCATTAAATAATAAGAACACAGTGTGATCAGAACCTTTAGGATTCCCAAGACAACGAGACAAAGGTTCTAGTCCTTTTCTTTTTACTTTTTATTATTTCATTATTTTAATTTTCAAAGTAATAATTTGTCCTTTTATGGAAAGTAAACAAATGCTAGGCTTAGTTAACTCTCTAATTAAAATTAGGTCAGTTAGCCTAACTAATTAAGGAATATACAAAAAGCATCTTAATCCATGAAAAATATGGGATCTAACAATTGATTCTGTAATTTATAATTATGGCCTTTGATAAATAAAAGTTCTAGTGAGCTGAATTATAAGCAAAGCCTAGCAACTATTTTCTTTACAGCCTTTGTTGTGCCAAAAAAATTCCAAAAACAGAGAATTAGTAAGAGTCACTTCATAAAGGAAATGAAATTAAAACCAGGGAATGACTTTGATAAATTCATAAAATATTTGTCTGCTTTCAGAGTAGAGATCAACAATTAAATGTAGTTGATGATAGAGAAACAAGTAAATATATGTCTTGCATTTATTGTAGGTCAATGTCTAGCTTGAAGGGGGGAAATTGAACAAAACTGGAAATGAATTTATTGACAATAGATATTTCCCACTAAACAATAAAAGGAAATAAAAATGGAAATTGATAAGAACTTTGGAAGGACACTGAGACAAAAGAGAGATCCATTGAGCCCTCCCCCTTTTTTTAGTGTGGTTAACATTCTTCAACAATTGTAGCCCAGAAAGCATACGTGTCTGATCCCATGATTCATGAAAACCCATGACAATTACAACTCAAGAAACTGTACAACACTACTCACAGGTCATGTCCACTTCTTTCATTAAACACCATTCCAAATTCTACAAGGAAAACTGGTGTTAGAGATTTATTCTCTTTTTTTTTAACAAAGAAATTCATGGTTCAAAGAAAAATGAGGAAAGCAAATTTGTAAGCTTTATGATATATAAATAAATAAATATAATGAAAATTAATGCAAAGTGATTGATTGAATTTTAAATAGTTTTTTATATATAAAAAAATACTACTATTCAACTTAAGATTTTTACCCGAAATTTGACCTTAATTTCACCTGTTGAGTAAACGGCAAAACCCTACTAACAATAGTAGGCTCGAAAGGAGGCTAATATATTATTACCTACGAATATCAGTGATGTCCTTTCTTATTTTCTGTAAAGTGATGTGGAGCTACGGTAAAAGATCAGTGTGAGACACTTGGAAGTATAATTTCTTGGAAAGGATGTGCATTAAATTCAACAACTATCAATTAGTAAATAAGTATGCAGCACAAATCACATGGGTTGTAGATGCAAAAGCAACAAACTTATTTTACAGAGATTAAAAAAAAAACAAAATGGGGAATAAAAAATGATTTAAAGCTTCCATTTTAGTCATCATATTGCTTCCTCCACTACTTCATTTCACACTTATGAAAAAGCTTCTGGATTAACCAACTATGATGGAACAAGAAAGAAAAGTGCTCCTTTTCTTAGTATAATTTCATTAATTGGATGTGAGTGTGACTCATTTTTTTTTCTTTTTTGATGAAAGATCAAGTTTAGTGGAAGTGAAAAAGCTTCTGGATTAACCAATAATTTTCTTTTAAATATCATAACTTTATTCTATTATTATTCTGATATGATAAGATATTATATGAAACATATACAAATGACCATAAAATTTACCCCATATATATTAACTTAACTGAGAAGAAATTACCCATTTTCAGAATCAAAATATATCACAGATCTTAGTAAAATTTAAATATGCCTTTGAAAAGAAATTTAAATTGAGACAACCTTGCGGAAAATTACTCCAATTTAAGTCTCAAATAGTGGGTAGTGGCCACTAGCTTGTTCCAACTCAAAGGAGCATCAACTCGTTTTTTTGACAAAGAATGCACCAATTACAATGCAATTCTACCAAATTGTACCCGATTGATGGATCGAATCACTTCTTTTCACACACCTATCTTCAAACCTAAATTATAAAATTCTTGGGGTAAATTATGTTGATCCTACTTTACATTTTTTGTGCGAACCTATTTCATAACCAATAATGTTGATCCTAATTATCACTACATTTACAATTTTTCCTCTAATTCCATTATAAAATGTTCTTGGTACCATGATTTCAAAGTTTTAATTGAACTCTTTCTTAGAAGATGTATTAGATGCCGCAACGATTTAACACTAGGTATATATTGTGAATACATTAAATATAAACTTTTAACACTATTAAACTGCTCCAAGATTGAAAACCATGATTTCGAATTTCAATGTGTATTTGTTATTAGAAGATTAACTATCTTTCCTTTTTTTATTTTTGATATTTGAATATGTAAAGATTAAACTCTGATTACTATAATTAAAATTTTAATATTTTATCAATAAATCATGTAATGATTGATAAAATTAGTTGTCTTTAATATTTAATTTCTTGGAAATCTCTTTGCAAGCAGAAACAGGGTTGTTAGCTGATATTAGTAAATAGGAGCAACTAAATTGGATAATTAAAAAAAAGGACTTTATTTCGTAAGTAATTCGAAATTGTTGAAAACAAATTAATAATAAAAACAATTATCAACTCTGAAAAAAATTTTGGCCAACAAAAAAAAAAAGGTAAAGACTAAAAAAATCATTTTAAAAAACTACATACGGTATACAAAATTTGGGGACCAAAATTACAAAATCAAAAAAAGGGGGACCAAATTTGATTTTCATATTATAACAGCTGAATGGCTACGAGAGATAATATTAGATTTCCCCATTCTTAGCCACTCATGAGACTCGACAAAAGATTCCAATTTTATATAATTGTAGGTAGACATTTTATCGGTATCTATTAATCTAAATATATTTTTTTTCTTTTCTTTTTTTTCTTTTCTTTTTGATCTACCAATTGCTTATAGTCATGCTACCAACCACCTTACAGCCAGCCTAATTCTATGCAACAAAAGAAAATCTCAAAAAATTTGAGATTTTAATCTTTTTTTTGGCTCTATTTATAGAGCCAAAAAAACAAGGGAAAGGGAGGACAAAAAAAAAAAAACTTATAGGATCCATACAAAGGGAACCTACAACAACAAAAAAAAAAAAAATCTAAAGTCCAGCCCTTAACCAAAAACAAATTGTCAGATTAAAAAAAAAAAAACTCAAAAAGCCCCAAAAAACTAGACAAATACAAACAAAAAAATCATAGTCCCTAGCAATGAGGAACCATAGCGCTAAACAAAAAAAAAAAATCATTTTACTCGAAAACTTTGGGCCTTGATCTATGTAATTCGATATCGTTTCTTGCAAAACTAAACTCAGATCAGTGTTTATGGGGTTGACGAGAGATTTTTGGTGACTTTAATTTTTTTCAATAATCGACAGCTGACGGACAGCTTGGCCTGCCAAAGCTGACTTCTAGGAGTAGTGGCAGCTGCCTAGGGTTTAAAGAGAGAAAGTCTGAGAGAAGGAGAAAATAAAGAGAAGAGGGAAAAAAGAAAATGAAGTTAAAAATTTTTTTAGCCTTTTATAGTATTGCAAAAAGCAAAATAACATCATTTAGGACCCGAAAGTTTCACGCATCGATCGAATCCAACGCGAGGTCCGTTCACCCGCCTCACTACCCAACCTTCTCCCCTATTGACTAGTCTAGCTAAACCAGTCACCTGAACCACTAAACCTGTTTCCTAAACCATTGAATCACTCCAAATCGAGATTGGATCACTGGCGTTGACTCTGGTATTGACTTGCCATTAACCAGCGTTGACTCACCGTTAACCAACGAAATTTGATATTTTTTATTTTTTTAATTTTTATTATTTATTCCATTTATTTTATTTTTACATTAATTTTTTTATATTTTAATTTATAATTTAAGATATGTAAAAATAAGTATATTAATGATAAAAAGCAAAATACTAATAATAAATATGGATTTTAAAATAATGAATGAACAAAATTAATAATAAAAATAATAAAAAATTAGTAAAAATGTAAGAAAAAGAAATTTTTATTTGACGATAAGATTCAAAGGTATTTCATGTAGTGAAACCTACAAAATCTCTAGG